TACAGAGGAATTGCCTATGTTCAAAGAGACAAGGGTGCCAGGGATGCCGCTATCCACAACTGGTCTGCAGTTTGAACAGAACGTGCTGACCTCGGCGAGGCAAGCGATGGCCTTGAGAGACATTGGATGATCGAAGACGATATGCACGCTCCTCACTTCGTGTCTCAAGGGACTGGAAGTGGAGGACAGGCCTCGGTCGAAAGCAACCAGAGGCCAGATACGCGACATTCTCGGGGCACTGAGGGATGTTGGGGAGAGACGTTGGGATGATCGGGGACGATATGCACGCTCCTCACTTCGTGTCTCAAGGGACCAGAAGTGGAGGAAAGGCCGTCGGTCGAAAGCAACCGGAGGCCAGACACGCGATGTTGCCGGGGTACGTTGGGATGATCGAAGACGATATGCACGCTCCTCACTTCATGTCTCAAGGGACCGGAAGTGGAGGAAAGGCCGTCGGTCGAAAGCAACCAGAGGCCAGACACCCGATGTTCCCGGGGCACTGAGGGATGTTGCGGAGACGTTGGGATGTTCGCAGACGATATGCACGCTCCTCACTTCGTGTCTCAAGGGACCGGAAGTGGAGGAGAGGCCTCGGTCGAAAGCAACCAGAGGCCAGTCACGCGCTGTTGTCGAGGCATTGAGGGCGTTGGGAGAATCGAGGCGGGCGGGATGATGAATGTTGAACGGAGAGGAGTCAGAGGACGCGTGTTGCGAAGGCGCCTCCCGTGAGAAGCGCCTCGTGAGAGGGATCACCGGCCAATGAGAGTCCGTCTTTGTCTCTAGGTTTCGATGCCCTGGGTGATTTATTACATTAGATACTACTCGCAATTAAAATATACCTGTGTATATCGCATGACACAAACAGGACTATATCAGCTTATAGCGAGAGAAGACTCAGACCTGAGAAATAACGACGACCGCGCAATCACAAACAGGAGTCAAACAAACTCGCCAAAAGGAGATACCGAAGGGAACTCCACGCAATCCGTTGTAATTTTCCACCAAACGGCAGCGTGTCGCACCGTCCCACCTCTCAATAAACAACATTGCAACTTCTCGCCGACTCATGAGTGAGGCGTACTGAACATGTATCTAACAAACCGGCCAGACTGTACGAAATTAAGATTAATGGACGCGTCGCGAGACGTGCAAAACGCGAGGGACATCTGCTGATCATCTCCAACCCGCGCTAGATCAGAGTGTCTTGATGCCTTCGCATACCGCTCTTGCTGGCTCTCAGTAGGAATTGTCTCAAGTCGTTTGTCCTCCTACTCTCTCATACCGCCGACCCTTACTCATGTTGGCTCGCAACCTGCTCAAACGACGAGCGGAAGAACCCCTTCTTCCCCTATATCATCCGAAACGCGCACGAACAACTCCACCCCAGTCTGAGTTCTCCAACCTGACCGCCCGCTGGATGACACTCGGTGGGAAAGCCGTTGAACTCATTCACGACACGAACATCTTTATGTTCTCCGATCTCGCAACCGCTGTCTCTGTCTTCGTCTCGCAAATTGTCTCGAACCTCGTCTACGGTCTCCACGGTCACGACCTTACAGAATTTGCACAGCAACGTGCGCAACGGCGAGCCAAGCCACAAGCCCCAGGACGCCATTCGCCATACTCTGTCTCTTCGCCCCCATCCATACCGCCATCGCCCCCTAAAGTGACTCGCAGTTTGAAGAGCGCCTTGAAATTCTCAGATAGGACTGTGAATGAATTTCAAAGTTTCCTACCTTCGCCCCCACTGCCGTCCACGTCGGTGAGCGAAACGTCCACCAGCGAGACCGATCGAACCAAGCGACGCGTCGTCAGGTTCAAGTGTCCGCCTTCGCGGCCTAAAAACGCGTCAGCGCCAAGTCAGGTACCTCACCCGTCGCTGCCCACCGTGGAAGACGCGTCGACATCAAAACTGCCCCTCCATCCACCGCTACCCGACCAGGTTATGACAGCAGCGATCTACCACCTGGACAAGGCCAAGATCAAGGCCGCCAACGCCAAGGCACTGCGGAAAGCCAAGCAACGCGAGCATATACTTCAGAGTCAGTTCAGGTTAGAAGTGAAAGGGCAGCTTAGCAAAATGAGGGATCATCTGGAGCAAGAGTATACGCTGTTCAGCAAACGAACGAGTGAGTAGCTATCCAAACTGGCTTCGACAATCTTAACAAACAAACTTTGAGGGTTACACCGGCGAGAACGCTCGACAACAGTCGAGCGTAATGCAGACGCAGTAGACACAGTAAAACGACTGTTGCGAAGCCAACCGAAGCCTACTGCGTCTCCAAGCAGCACCGCCAAGTCTGCTCCCCCGCCGCCGCCACCATCCGCGCATACGCTACACACAATACTGCTGCCGCCGCAGCCTGCGGCGGAGCCTCCAGCGCGCCAGCCGGTCGAAGAAGCAGCGACGCACATCCACCGCCCCTCCCGGGATGCGGAACAGCCCCCTACACGTACGCCGCACACTCTTCCGCTGCCGCTGCCTCCCGCGGCGCAGCCCCCAGCATGCCAGCAGGCCGATGAACTGGCAGCGCAAACCCACCGTCCCCCCTGGGATGAGAGACACCCGCCTTTAACACCCCAGCCTACCGTGTCCCGGTCATCGCCCACCCACGCAAAGGTCTCTCGGCAAGTTGATCCCTTCGACCAGTCGTCACTTTCTTGCCTGCGTCCGTCACTTCTCCCAGAACACGACGCCAAGGTAGGCGAGTTGCTTCAGAAGCGGGGCGTCATCAGCCGATGCGGGCACCAAAGGGTCTGCGATAAAGACCTCAGGCTGCTCCGTCCAGGCCAGTGGCTCAACGACGAAATTATCAATTTTTATGGAGAGATGAGTATGCGGCGTGCAGAGGAGGCCAAAAGGAACAAGCAAGGGAATGTTCTTGACGTCCAATACTTCAGTTCGTTCTTCTGGACGAAGCTCAGCGAGCAGGGATACCATGCGGGCGGCCTAGTGAGCTGGACGCAGACCGTACGTCCCCCTGATTCTGAAATGAGTAACCGGGCAGCTGACCTGGCACAGCACAACATGTTCTCGAAGGATATTGTCCTGATTCCTGTGCATCACAGCAACCGACACTGGACTGCCGCTGCAATCAACTTCCGGAAGAAGCGGATCGAAAGCTACGACAGCTTGAATCACGACCGAACGCGGGTGTTCATCCTCCTGCGAGGGTATCTCAACGACGAACACCGACACCAAAAAGGCCGGCCTTTCGATTTCACCGGCTGGGTTGACTGGACGCCCAAAGACACACCGCAGCAGGAGAACACCAGCGACTGCGGTGTCTTCACATGCCAATTCCTCCAGACACTGTCTCGCGGCGAAGAGGAGTTTGCTTTCACGCAGGCGGACATGCCCTACCTCCGGAGACGAATGATCTGGGAAATTGGACATGTCCGGCTGCTCACCGACACCGAAAATAGCGCGAACACATCTTTTCCCTCCGCACCCTCCCCTTAACGACCTCGCCATCACCCGTACCGCCGGTGCCTGCCCGCGTGCAGAACCATGCCGCACAGTGCGCCTTGGACAGTCGCCCTGTTCCGAGCTCGGTCTCCAGCGCAACTCAGGTCAGCGGTAGCACCGGCTTCATAACTTGCAGGTCACGAGGAGGAGACAATCTCCAATCTCTGCAGTTCGGTGAGTGTTGCACATCCGGACTGTGTGCATCCGCTAACCTCGACGACACCCATAGAAGCGCCATTTCGCTTGACTCGTCCTAAGTCTGTGAAATCCGATATGGCGTGTCAGCGGGCATCGTGTACACAATGTACTCACCGGGACTTGTCTGGTCTTTGCACAGTAGCTTGACCACAGCATAAGCGAATCGAAATGGACTTGCGTGCTACCCAATGGGAGTGTACTGAGTTTGGAAGGGAAACCCTCCGGCAAAAGGGAAAGAGACCGTAAATGCGCCGTTGGCGGGAGCGTTGAGAGACGTCTGAAGGATCGAAAGTATCGCACTTCGTGTCTGAATAGACCAGAAGTGGAAAAAGAGCCTCGGTCTGATGAGACAGGAGGCCAGGATCGCGCTGTCAGAGACCGCGGATGCGCCGTTGGCGGGAGCATTGAGAGACGTCCGGAGGATTGAAAGTATTGCGCGCTCCTCATTTCGTGTCTGAATAGACCGGAAATGGAGAAAGAGCCTCGGTCTGATGAGACAGGAGGCCAGGATCGCGCTGTCGGAGACCGCGGATGCGCCGTTGGCGGGAGCATTGAGAGACGTCCGGAGGATTGAAAGTATTGCGCGCTCCTCATTTCGTGTCTGAATAGACCGGAAATGGAGAAAGAGCCTCGGTCTGAGGAGACAGGAGGCCAGGATCGCGCTGTCGGAGACCGCGGATGCGCCGTTGGCGGGAGCATTGAGAGACGACCGGGAGATCGAAAGTATTGCGCGCTCCTCATTTCGTGTCTGAATAGACCGGAAA